GGGGCCGGTGATGGAGGGAGTTGACGAGTGCGGGGAGGGAGGCGGCGAGGCGTTCGCAGAAAGTGTGATTGATGCTTGTTGCGGGATTGAAGAGGATGAAGCCGCCGGCGTGGAAGAAGAGGAGGAGTGGGAGTTTGGTTGGGGAGGAGGATGGGAGGAAGAGGCGGAGGGAGGTGTTTAGGGAAGGGTTGAGGGGGATGTCTTTAGAGAGGACGGCGGCAGGGTGGCCGCCAGCGGCGGCGTCGGTGGTGTTGGTGGGTTCTAAGAGTGGGAAGACTTGGCGGCGGAAGAGGGAACCGTCGGGATTGCGGGAGAATTGTAGGAAATCAGAGGGATCCATTAGGGCTGGGGATGGAAGATTGGAGGACGGCCGATCGAGTTGGGAAGACGGGGGTTTAAGGCTTATATAGTTGTTTAGGAATGAAAAAAATAGGGGAATTTATATACGTAGCATCCAATTCTAATTCATTTACTTGTCTTGTAACTATTGATTTGTACATGATATATAAAAAAGTGAAAATAGTATAATTCATCCTTATATGTATAAATTTGGGTGCTAATCATATATAAATTAAAGTTTAGGCCTAAGATATGTAGATATAAAAGAATTAGGTGAATTAGGTGATATGCATATAATTTTTATTAAAAATAATGAAATTTGCATACGCAACACCCAATTCTTATGAATTTATTTATCTCACACCTGAATTTTGATTTTTGCCATCTAAATAATTTTATCAATGTATGAAAATGTGGATTACACTATTTCTTAACTTTAAATCTATTTTAAAAGACGCATATGTTGAATTCTTTTAAGATGTGGTTTTTTGTATTGTTTGTGATTGCATACGACGCGGTGAAGACTTTATATTCGTTGAAGAAAGAAAGAAACAAGAGAGATGGATGTGAGATTTGAGAGGTTTCTATGATTGGAGCTTGAACCTTCGAAAAACCAGAAAAAATGGCTTGGAGGAGATTTCTTGGATTACATAGTTAGAAAAAGAGAGGTGGAGGGAGAGGGAGGAAGGGGGGAGAGATGAAGAGGTCTGGATTACGTAGTTAGAAAAAGAGAGGGAGAGGGAGGAAGGGGGGAGAGATGAAGAGGTTTTGGAAAAAGATCTCCCCTCCTCTCTTTTTATTCCTTTTTATAAAAAACTGAGAAAATAATTAAACATACATTTAGTAAAGAAAACACCCATTTGCGTTGTCTCGATCAAAATACTGTGATGTGGATGTCAGATAATGCCTTCAATAACAATGAACTTGTGTCCTTGATATTAATAATAACCTTCCCTAATAATTATCCCTCCTTAGGCTGACTAGGTCACCTCCTCGGAAGATGCGAGGTTCAGTTGCTTCGACAGGTTGGTTTGATTCAATCACGTTGGCAGATGTGCTCGATTCATCTACTTCAGCAGATGAGATCGATTCAACCAATTTGGCAGTGATGCAAGAGCATTTAATTCATGAGTGTTTGATAAGATACACATGTGTGCGCGATCCTTGCAATTCCAGCATTTGGACCAACCGTTCCATGTAAGTAGAGAGACGAATGGCTCCCTCCTTTGGATTGGGTGTTGCTTTTCTGATGTGGGCCCCATCCTAACTATCTAGGGCTTCTATATTTGACTCATGTGTCTAGGCATTTTAATTTTGCCTGTGTATCAGTCCTGGTAGTTGTTAGCTTCTCATGCTCCCCTTCTATGGTTGTATCCGAAGCCAAGAAAGTGCTTTAGTTATAACTCATCTGAGGTGATGACTGTCTCTCAAGGATCAAATGGTGCTCCGGCTATAATTCAATCCCACGTAGGTATTTATTCTTGATTCCCATCCCCCACAACCCCTCCCCCCTGTCGTTGACGCCTTTTCTAGTTGTCGGAACCATCGAAAAACACTCCTACTACCTTCCAACAACTCCAATCCTTAGCCACCACTTCCTTCTCTTGTTGTCATCCTTTCAATGTACCTCCCACCTTGTTGCCACTCATTCCAGCATCTCGTCTTCACTTTCCAGCCACCCCGCCTTCTCTTCATAGCCTCGAGACAACACTCTCTTTGTTGTACCGCAGTCCCACACATTCTTCACATTTGTTATTGTCATTCATGTTGACTGTCGACACCTTAATCGTTGTTCTCGACTATTTTTGCCTATTTCAGTCACTCGACAAGCTATTTCCCTCATTCCAGTTTGTTGCCATTGCTGTAACTCATCCCCTTTACTACTGCCATCCTCCTCCCATTCTATTGAAACCCAATACAGCCCTTTCCAGTTGTTTCACTACTATCCATTCCTCCTTTTTACTGTCGCCACCATTTTTGCCCTCCATCTTTGCTGCTATCACCCCGAGCAGCCCTCCCACACCACTCCCCACTATTTATTTGTTGTTCGGCATCAGGGAAACAACGACCTTATTTTTTTCTATTTGCCTACCGCCTTTTCACCCATGCACTACCTTTCCAAACCCTCATGGACAAACACCGCCATCCTTGTAATACATTCTAATTGTGTTTTTCGTGTCAGATGTTATATTTTCTCTTTCAAGTGTGTTGGTTGTAACATCTTATTTACTTTCAACAATAACATATATTTTTCCTCTTATTATTTGGGTTAACTCCGATATCAAGCATGTGGGATCCATTCAACGTATTAAATTCCATATTTAAAATACTCAAAAGAAAGTTTGTGTTTATGTCTATGGCCATGTTTATGTATAGTACCACAATCATGCTTTAACTTCAAGCTTTATCAGTATTCTTAATCTTATGTCATTTGTTGACATTATATAGTCACCAACAATGAGGTTAGGTTTTGTTTTAGTTAATCTACTAAATAGCCCACCCTTTTCACCTACATATTTTTAAACGTATTCTTTTGACTTCAACAAGACTAGATAAAACTATATTAAATGAATTAAATACTAAAAAATTATTTCCATAGCAAATTTCCAGCACAAGGCAGAGGCAACAATAAGTAGAAAAAAGTGCGGATTAATTCAAGATAAATGCCATATAACAAATAATATATCTACTTTGTTGGAGATTAGCTGTCGCACAAGTCAAAATAGTTTAGCAAACTTTGATCGACTCCCCATTTAAATATAAAATTAAATACACAATTAATTATGCAATATAACTGTGTCGCGTATCTCGGTCTGGGGTTATAATCCCCTCTGATACTGTTGACCTTAAGGAGGTGGTACTCGAATTGTTAGACACATTAGTAATGGTTGGAGTCTCGTATAATAGTCTGACCATTTCTTTAGAAAAACATAATGATTGGAGACTCGTATAATAGTCTGACCATTTCTTTAGAAAAACAATAAAATTATGAAATATAATTGAATTTGATTTTTATTCAAACTCAGATAAATTCAGCTGTGTGTTCTGTTTGGTCAGTTCAACTTAGTTGTTGAGAAATCTAAAATAGTTCAATTTATATTCAAAATGACTGAAATTAATAGTTAGGCGTATGGCCTGTACTAGATATTATAAGATAAGATATTCCTTGAAAAAAAAAAAGATAGTATATCTTATTAAATTATTTGATTTATTCTAAAATGATTTAAATATAAAAATTAATTTTGTAGTCACGTATTACATTTATCATACAATATATTTAATAACGTTAAAATTCATTCAACATGATCAAAGCTTGATAAGAATGGAAAATTATTCTCTCAAAACTTCTAAACATAGAGAACCATTTGGAGTCCAATGAAATCACGCCACTTGGCGGTGACAGAAAAATAAATAAATAACACAGGAGAATATTCCTCCCATGTTATTCCGTGCTATTCAGGTGTTATTGTATGTTATTCAGGTGTTATTGTGTTCTGAGAATATTCCTGATGTTATACTAACACAATAACACATTAATAACACTTAAATAACACACAATAATACATGAATAACACATGAATAACACATGAGGAATATTCCCTTGTGTTATCGGGTTGATTTTATTTTATTTTCTCTGTCACCGCCATGTGGAGTGATTTCATTGGACTCTGAATGGTTCTCTACATTAGAAGTCCTGACATATTAGAATAATTTTCCAATAAGAATAGCTCATCCAAAAATTTATCAATATTCTTCTCAAGAGTATTTTTGTCCCACATAATCTCAGCCCTTTTGAGTTTTAATTGATTATAGGCTTAATACATCATAACAAAAAGAAAAAAATTCAAAAATATTCATGCTTACAATAATTAGAGCCCGATTCAATAAATTTATCAAACCAAATTTCCTGATGATATTTATCCATCAACACTAAAAAAGACAATACCTGGCTTCAAATTCATGACTCTAAATCAAAGATTTCAAGTGTAATTGAAAATTTTGGGAAATTCATTCTAGAATTAAATGATTGCTACAAAACAATTGTGGGAGCACACCATATTTATCCTTGAAGGCTTGTTTGCAAACTCCACAAATTCATATATGAGCTCAAACAAGTTTCTATACAATGTTACTCCAAGCTTACTACATCATTAATCCATCTTGGATTCACACAATCCAAATCCAATTACCTACTCTTCACAAAAGGCACATGACCCACTTTTATTGCATCATCGGTTTATACGGTTGCCATTATTATCACGGGTTCCTGTCCATACTTAATTGCATCTCTAAAATCCAATATTTATGCATCTCTAAAATACGTTGGCATCCATTTTTTGATGTTATATGCATGGGACATTCTCGCAGAGTGCACAACACTGTAATTGAGGTCTACACTGCCATAGTCGTGCCCCAAGTTGATCATGGCCAAGCCGACATTGCCTCCGGTACCCTCCATGTTGATGTTCATTCCTATGACACTGGGTCGTATCCTGCTGATATGGGCATTTCCAAACGGAGACCATCAACTAAAGAACCCCACATCAAGTTCGGACCATAAGTCCAAAGCTCAGGTAGATGAATTTCCTGTTAGAACCGCTCTGCTCGATGATATGTGGACAATTCAGCATCTCGAACTCTTTTGAGACACATTTAAAGTCCCTACGGAGGTCCAAGAATTGTGACCTACTCACATGTGATCCTTTGGAGGTCCCACGAGGCCCGGAACCCCATTGTGAGCTTTTTAGAAGCCTAAAATTTTTGGGGTCTAGTGTGACCACGCCTAATTTAAAAAAGGCCACGCCTAAACCCGGTGTAGCCACTCCAAGTCCACCTAAAATAACCCAAAAAGCTCTTCGAGTGTAGTCACACCTTAAGATAGAGCGTCCAGAGTAATTACGTTGGCCCTTGGGCATGGCCACACCAGCCGTCTTTTCATGATGCCCTGAATAGTGGACTGACAATGCCTAAGCCCAGTGTGGCTACGTCGTCAGGACCAGTTCGTGAATTTTGGACCTCTGGTCCCAGATTCCTTTCGGCAAGCGACCATGACTGGTGGGCCATATCCTTTTGTCTGGTTCTTCCCTAAATATTGTATGAGAGATATTTTGGGGTCATTCTAGTTTGAGAAAACGACTTAGACCCCTTGGATCTTTTACTCAGGGCTATTTAACCAAGGGGAGGTGGCTCATTTGTAGGGATCAACCACCATTGTTGTTGGAGAGGAGTGTTGGAGCAAGGAGGAAATTCAAGAGTTTCTACGGAGATTTCTTCAGGGATTCCATCATTTTCTTCAAGGAGAAGCTAAGTCAAACCTTTTCCTTCATTTTCTTGATCTCTCCTCTACTTTGTTGGTCATCTTCCTTGTCTCTGGTGACACTCCGGCAAGATGATGAGGAGAGCTTCTTCATCACTTGGGAGAAGAAATCCGGTCATCTTCTCCATCTATGACGACTCTACGATAAGGAGAGATTTCTCCTATAAGAAGAAAAGCTTCGATCAACCGTCGTGACTTCTCAAACCCTTTGCATTTTCTTTCTTAGTTGACCTTAGGAGTAGATCTTGCTAGGTATTGTGGGTTTTGGTCACCCAAAGAAGGCGAGTTTGACCAGCTACACGGTATCATCTGACTCAATCGATTGCTCAGTAATTCAATTGGTCAAATGATATCGGTTGACCCGTCCATACTCCTTTTAATTGGCCAAATTTGTGATGTCACTGTTGGTTTGGTGCCTAGCCATGGGATATGTGGACAACCCTGAGACACCGGTCTTTTTATATATTTGACTTGTTTTATCGTCTTTCCTGCATGATTGTATGCTTGGATTGGCTTCCCTATTTCTTTCTGGTTTGTGTGGGATGTTACTAAATTTATAATTTAGTCTCTTCCAATGACCTCAAAATTACAAATTTTCTAATTAAAAAAAATCCTAATCAAAATTTCAAGACTAATTAAAATTTAAAATTAAAAGATTCAATATTTTAAAATATTTCTCTTACTTTCCTGCATGGTCTTTAGGCTTGATTTAAAACGGATTGCCTAGCATGGGCATATCCCAAGTCATACTAATAAGGCTTCCATGCTTAAGACTTGAAAAGACAACTGCATCGTTTGCATGTATCGAGGAGAAGCCTCCGTGCTTCTTCAACCCAACTGGCCTAGCATAAATTTCTGCTTAGGTTATTAGATGACTCCCCGACCCAAACAAGGTGCATCTTTTTATCGGAGTGTTTCCAAATTTATAGCTGAACCTCCCTTTCTTTCCTTTCCAGCAACATCCTTACCATTTTTGCGGGTGTAATCCGACCTCTTGGAGCTCTACCTGACAGTCATAGGATAGAGTTTCGTTCATTTGACCTTTGGGCTAATGAGGTTCCCGTGAACGTCACAATTCACAGATTGTTGATTGAGGATCTCAAGACACATTTGGTTGACTACTTCACCATCAGGTTGACTTAGAGCTCTAGCAGCTTGGGATGACGGGCCTGTGGTTCCCAGATTTGACTACCTCTACCTTTAATGGATTGATTCTTCATTCCTTTAACTACCACTATTGAGTCCTTTCTTTCCCTTTTCCTTTGTTGATATCATCTCAATGCCCTGATTACCGATAAGTTATCACCCATTTGGGATATAACGATTTGTATTCTGCTCTTATGGACTAGATGTGCCTTGATGTATCGGGAATATCTGTTATAATGATTTAGTTATTTCGCAGGTTTCGTATGTCGATGCATCTTTTTCCCATGCGGGGACCACAAGAGACTCACTCTCCACCCCATGGCTTAGTGAGAGCTTTGAATGCATTGGAACTTTCCCATGCTAAAAAATCATCATCTGATAGCCCTGTGCTTGTTTTTACTAATAAGATAAGCAAAAATTCTTTAGATCAAGAGTATTATGAGGCAACTCCCAATGTGTAATAAACCAAGTGGAATGCATCCCCTTGGGAGCACTCTCAACCATAAGATAGGCAAACACGCCTGAATTTCTAGATATGGATAGTCTATATATGTATTCTTTCGCGGATATTGGTCCAAGGTGCATCCGCCCGATCTTGTTTGGGCAGGTATACTTGATCAATCCTTGCGATGTTTATCGCAAATAAGTTCTCCATGTTTTTCTTGCTCTTTATTTGTCTTGTTCGTTGTATGTCCATTTTCCGTTTCATTTCTTCTTCAGATCATTCTTATGATTCAGAAGAGAGACTTGTTCAGAAAGGGAATTATACGACGATGAAAAAACCGGCAACTCCTTAAAAAAATAAAAATGAAAAAAGAAACATAAACAAAATCCAATATTCATACCTAATTTCAAATAAAAGTCCTTGAAGAACTTGAGTATTTCCTTACTCATGAAGTTACTCTGTTTAACAATGAACTAGCTAGTTATATCACAATGCCACTACACTCTTAAATTATTTGAAGATACCGGTTTACCTCCCATTAAATTGAAACAAACACACTCCATGGATCCTGATAATAAACTTAATGACACCAATGCTCATTGATCCTTCATCATATATATGCTTACTTAGTCATCTTCTATATTTAAAATCATCATGACCTGATATTACTATAGTTGTTCACAAACTAAGTCATTTCTTAGCATAACCCAGATGCATGCATACGGCAATTGCACAATATCTTCTATTCTGTCTAAAATTTATAGCCCGATAAGGACAATTTTTTTTTGCTGCTACTCCTTTCTTTCAACTCAGAGCATTTTCTGATGTTGATTGGGGATCATGCCCAATCACCTAAAAATCTGTTACTGCTTTTTGCATCTTTTTAGGTAACTCTCTTATTTCATGGAATGTAAAGAGGCAACACAAAATATCACGATCTTCAGTTGAAGCTGAAAATCAACCCTTCACAACCACCTTCCAACTTCCAGAAGACAATGATGTCACTACACAATCTCCAATGCTACTTTTCTATGATAATCAAACATCCATTCACACTTTAACAAATCCAATATTTCATGAAATGACCAAGCACACAAAGATCAGTTGTCATTTTGCTCGAGACAGAATTGCCACCAACCTCATCGAACTTATGTTGCTCCATTCACTCAATGATCTTTTCACCAAATCATTACCACAACCTATCATAAATTCTCTTATCATCCAAGATGGAATATTTTAAAGGCATTCACAACATATCTTGAAAGGGAGTAGTAGACATTGTTTATCTACACAGTAGCTAAGGCATTGTATATCAATGTATTATGTCAGTCTACTACTAAAAGCTGACTTTTGTATATATAATCGACACAGGTAAAGATAATGAAATAAAAGTACAGATTATTATTTCCCTTTTTTTGTCTCAATTCTTCTCTGTCTCAACCTAGGTTTCAGATTTACCAACTACTGCAATGTTTTCAATAAACACAATCGATTTAGTTGCTCATAATCTCATTCATTACTCATAACTAAGACCAAATGAGGAAACTCTTATCACACCCAATCATGAAATAAATCGCTCATCATTTTTGTAGGCTACAAACTTTGCAAAATATCTTTCATAAAAATTTCCAGTTTTCAAATCAAATTATACTGATTCACTCATACATAAAAATTCACTTGTACCGCATATCTTTCTTCAATCAAAGCTAACCAAATAAAATAAAATGAAATAAAACAACACCTCATATAATTAACTGTACATACGCATATAATAACAATATATATATATGCATAGGTACATAGTATAAAGCTCAAATCAAAATTTATCCTAATCACCAACCAAGCCGAAGCTCCAAATCCACCTCTTCAACTATCAGTTCCTCCTCTCCGTTCTCATCTTCATTACAGCGATCATCACTGCTCGTTTTGACCAAAGAGAAATCAGATGCTGTTGCACCAAAGCTAATTGTGCCAACATTATTATGAGAAGATGATGACAAAGAGAAGAAGGTGGAAGAAGATGATGAGTCCTTGGTTGATGGCCGGGCCTGCCGAGGCCCTGCCACCACGGGGCAGACAAAGCAAAATTTACCGCCGCTACCTGCCGCCACTTCCGTAAATATAACCGGAGGTGGCGTGTGCCTTTGCTGCGCCTGAGCTCGAATGCGTTCACGGCGATGAACGTTCATGTGTCCACCCAGCGCCTGTGCCGACCGGAACTCACGCCTGCAGAAACTGCAGGCGTAGAACCTAGGCGGCCAGGTGGTCCCTAAAATGTTATTGGTGTCATCCGCGAAGGCCTTTACCTCCCATGAATCACCGTCATCATCGCCGGCGGCAAAGACGACGTCTTTGCTAGGAGGTCGTGCAAAGCTGGGCATGATCATCATCTTCTGCTTCTTCTGGGGTTGATGGGGATGTTGATGAAGAAGATGATTCTCCTCTTGTTGTCTTTTGAGCCGTGTCAAAGGGAATAGACCAAGTTCACGAGTTGTCGTCATGGATATTTTGTATATATTTATATATATGCATATACATATATCTGTGTAGATTAATGTTTAGGGATTGTTCTTGGCTTATATAGAGGGAGGAAACCAATTTTAGGGTTTAGAGAAGTAGGATAGTTACAAAGAGGGGTAACTTGGAGTTTAACACTAGTTATGTTGTGATGCTTTTGGAGTTTAGTTAAAGAGGGAGGAGAGAGATGGTTAGGGATTAAAGAAATGAGAGTTGATTAGAATAAGGTTAGCTATGTACGTAAGTAAATGTGCATGCTTGTGTCGTCATAAGCGCCGGCTGAGTTTTTGGTGCCTTGTTTGCAACCTTTTGGAGAGGCAAGTGGGAGAAGGAAGAAGCAAATGGGAGATGGGAGCTGGGGAACAAAAAATTTATGAGGAATTTTTTTAATAAAAAAACATTTTTTTAATAATACTTTTTAGGCATATTTTGAAGATTGATTTAAGTGGGATGAGTCAAGTTTAATATCTATTTTTAAATGCTTAAAATGTTATCATACGACGTCTGATAGTGGTTGTTTCTGTTTTATTTATCAAAGAAAAATAAAATTAGTTTAACCATGGAGTTTCGTTGGTGGATACTTATCTTTCCAACCTAAAAGGCATGTGGTTCCAACTATGTAGGACAGGAAAAATATTATGTCCGGCATTTGGGATTTCTTTTACGTCTGGACGCCAATAAGATAATGTCACGTGAGCAAGACCAACTTTCATGTAAAATAAGCAGAAAAAATCGCTCGCGTAAAATTCGCCTCTATATGACCCGGTCCTGGCCAGAGCCGTGTAATTTTTATATTACCGCGAGGCTTTTCTGTCTTTCCTTTTTTTTTTTTTTTTTGGTACAGTTTATGATGTTCTCATTCCCATTTATCGAGCAGAGTTTTGATGCACAGAGAGGGATTTCGCACAAAGAAAACTCATCCGTCTCCATTTTTATCCGGTCAACTTCTAGCTCGGGCAAATAGGATTGCAAGACGTGAAGGCTTTAAGGCTAGCAGACGTTTTCGACATAGTTACTTCAGTTAGCCAAAGTTTTTTGTCGACATTGCATTGGGATGTCATTAGCAACGGTAAGAAAGACAATTAAAATTTAAGATGTTAAAGTATAGAAATTTTCTTACTCCAGGAGTAAATTCTATTATAGACAGGAGTACAACATTTATTATTTGAGAGAAATCTTACGTAACATTTCAAATTATATTTAAAATTGTTGTTTTTCATTTGGGTATTTTGATGTGTGAGGAAATTATTTTGTATACTCATTTGGCATCTGTTGGAAGAATAAATGTAATTTCATATATTAAGTTATCTATTATTTTTATTGTATTAAAATAGAAGATTTTTAATTTTAAATGGTGTGATTGAAAAAAACCCATAAGTGTAAGCCTTATTAATTGCTATAACAATGTCGACATATTATATTTCATAAATTTTCCTAATGTGCGTTGAGTTCTTGCTAAAACAATGCCTTTATTTATGGATTGACTTGTATGATGTTTTTCATGAAAAAATAGGACCAGTTTCTTTTGAATATTTTTGCTAAAGACAAAAAAATTTTACATTTTACATGTTGTGTATAAGTTGTGCACTGTAGTAAAGTGATTACATAGGGTTATGAGATAACTGATGCATGCTTACTTTAAAAGGTTATGTTGAGTTTCTTCATTAATATATTGTATGTACGAAGGATAAAATCAAATTTATGATTGAATCTTATCCATTCATTTCTATTGGTTCTTTGTTGAGGAGAAAACTCTATATTGAGCTTCATAGTGTAGTAATGAGTTATCACTATGAAATTTTGGGTTGGCAGTTTTAAGAAAAAGTTTGATTAAAATTAGTGGGTTATCCTGCTACATGTTGTGAATAGTCTTCTCACTGAAGAAGATGTCTAATTTAAGACCGTGAAGAATCTAAAAATGTTAATTATGCAATATTATGTGAGGTTTATTCATGAATTGATTGGATTTAAGATGTAATTTATCAATTTTTTTGTTGTGTATTGTGAGCTTGATGAAGTGGATCTGTGAATTAGTGTATTATGTTAGCTATATTGTGTTATTGGTGAAAAATTAAATCATTTATGTTCGAAAAATCTAGCCTGAATAGTGAAATATTAGCAGTTTACATGTTGTGTATGAACCGTGCACTTCACTTGAATCATTATTTGGGGCTATTCAATGGTATTGGCTAATTATAACATATTTATGTCTACATAATGAGTTATCCTCATTAAGTTTTTCCTTTCTATATTTAAAAAAACTTTGAAAATTTTGAGTAAACTCTCTGGGCACCTACTGAGGTATTTGCTGTGAAATGTCTTTTCACTGAAGAAGATGTCTGGTTTAAGACATCGAGGAAAGTAAGACATGCTAATTATGCAATATTAGGTGAAGAGTTATCCTCATGAAAATTTGGGTTGACAATCTTAAGAAAAATTAGAAAATATCGAGTAAATTATCCTTTTGTATGTTGTGTATTGTCTTTTCAATGAAGCAAATGTCGGAATTATGACTCTTACAAATGTGAAAAATGCTAATTATTCAATATTATGTGAGGTTTATTTATAATTTTTTTGGACTAAAGATGTAATTCGTAAATTTTTGTGATGTGTATTGTGTGCTTGCTTAAGTGGATCCTTGACCTGGTACATTATGTGAGTTATATTGCGCTTTTTCATGGAAAATTAGAACAACTTGCTTTAGAATTTTTTTAACTTCATGGGAATAACATATTATCATGCTATGCGCCCCTATATAAAGTTTCCTCAACAAACAACCCATGAAAACTAATAGACGAGATTTAATGATTTCTTACTTCATATATACAATATATTAATGAAGAAACCCAACAAAAGTTTTTTTACTTAGCATATATCACCTATCATCTGATACCCCTAACTTTACTTCAGTGGTAAAATACAATTTTATATGCTTTCTAAATTGGGAAGTAATTACCGAAGGATTTAAAATTAAATGTCACCAGTATGTTATTCGTTATCCATCGTCGTCGCAGATCTTCTTCATCTTCAAAATTTCTCCTCTTGAGAGTTCTAAAACTAATTTTTTATTCCAGCTCCTGTATACCATTTTTCTGTCAGGTCACACGTAGTAAATATTATGCCCTTAAGAGTAATAATTAATTGGGTCGTGTTTGGGTCATACACAGGAGAATTTTCACGAGCAAATTTTCCTTTTTTTTATATATAAAAGTGGGGTCCTACCACATGGTGTTATGTTATTGGAGTCTGAACGTTGGACGCAATACTTTCCAGTAGGATATGGCTCACCGGACCTTAAAAAAAAAAAAAAAAAAAAAAAAAAAAAAAGGAAAGTGGGGGACTTTTAAAGGGTATAGTTGGTCCTTATTATATATGTTTATGTTTTGTGGTAATATTATTATCTAATTCTTTTTTTATTTGATGTTCTCAAATTTTTGTAGCCTTGATGCCCTTGCATGGTGTTGGCATCAATAGACTAAAATAAATAACACTCCCTACCAACCCATAACAATTTTTTCTGTTGTTGATCTTTTGTTGCATTTGTCACACAATTAACTTTTTGATGCCAACATCTCTTGGTGTTGCCTTCCATTACCTTTCAAATTCTTGTAATGACTTTTCTAGGGTGCCTTCTAGGGTTGTCCTTGTACATATGATCCCGTCATTGTTGCCACCAAATAGTCTTTCTTAGTGCTTCTTTACAAATTTCATTTGTTGTCACCCCCTTTGCTTTTAGGGCTAGGTTAAGCGCAATGTGTCCTTAGCATATTGCTCCACCTATTGTTAGTCTCTATTGTCATTATATAGACCAAAGTAAACCTCCTCTATATATTTGATCCCAAATGTTATGTTTTTTAGATTGTTGGATGCATTTTAATGGACTTAAGGGAGAAGTGCATGGTTAGTACTTCTCTCTTCATTTAGTTGAATCATTTTTTCTAGCTATGCAATTTGTGAGAATTTTCTTTGTATCATTGCTAAACCCACAATAATTATTTTTCAAATTTTTATATATTAAGGATTAAACAGCCTCTTTACAGAAAAATAAATTATTAGTTGAAGGCTCTTAAATGATATTATCAAAATAAGCTTAATTTAAAAATTTTAAGTTAATCTCTCATCAAATTCTTGTTTGAATAAGATTCACACATTTAAGGATCTTACTAAAAATTGGTTTTCTTGAATCTTTTTTAAATGTCATTCAAATTAATTCTCAAGAGATAGATTTAGGAAAAATCAATTTTTGAGAAGAGACAAAGCTAATGTTTTTCTCATTCCCTTACTTCAACATGAGCTCTATAAATTTGTTGAAGCCATGGCACAGAACGCTGACCATTAACAAAAAAATAATATTATTTACGATGGTTCTTTGTCACTTAATATATATTCCATTCTCTAGGTCCAATTATTTATAATTGAGACACCTTAGCCTTTATCCTAATGATTATCAATCCATTAACTAGTCATGGATATGCAGAGCTCCAAACATCAAATAATCTAAAAGATTGTCCTCTATAGTTAATATTATGGTATTGAACATCTAAAAATAGACTAAATAATTGTTATAAAGTTAATTCAATAATTTATTTATCAATGGTTGTCGACTCTTAAATGCAAAATGTTGCTTGTGATTTTCTGTTACTATAAACTTTAGTCTACAAGTTATTCCCACGTTCATCGCTTCCTCAACAAATCCAAGAGTACTCTTTAGCACTCTTCTTTGTTTGATCAATAACACATAAGGAAAGCACATATCCACCCTTCCCCTAACTTCACATAATTTAGTTGGATCTCAATGTGACCAATTAGCTTTTGCAATTTCATTTACTAGATGTGATGATGATACCTTATTAGAGAACTCCATCTATACACAAACAATAATATGCCAACAAACATTATGATATGGGCAAAATAAATTGTTAGTAAAGTGACGTTTTTATGTTATATCTTATTTCAAATCTCTAATATTACATGGCACACCAAA